TCCGGTCATTCAGGCAGAAGGACAGGTGCATTACAATACATTCGAAGGGGCTGGCATGTACCTCAAGTGGCTTACTTGGGACGATGGAAGTCCAATGTCATTCTTCAATATGCGGAGGAAGCTCTCGAGACCATGCCAGTCATGGCTAGGACAAGAAAGAACACGAGCACGCCACCTCCAAAAACCGAGATCATTACAAAAATGGCCATCTCCATTCGACATCAAGGTCTGCTTCCACCCGTGGTGATATCGAGGGCCGGCCTGGTGCATGAGAACAAGCGGCAACCGGTTGCTTCACCCGTGACAGCTTGGCATACGAGGTGCGGCTGGCCCTACGGCTCATCGAACTTTAGCTTCGGCTTGGACATCACCTCAGTGACCTGTCAAAAATGCAAGGCCCTTGCGCTGGGCATCGAGGACAAGTGTGGCAAGGGTGGAGGATAGCATGATGAAAGAACATGCAACTTTGACACCAGCGTCGAAAAGCTTGCTTGAGTTTAGGGTGGATGCACACCTCTTTGTCGTGGAAGAAAATGGCACATTTTCTGTAGGACAAGTTTTGGTGTGCTGGGTGGGGCCAGGGCTGAGTATGCCATTTTGGCTGAAGCCCTGGCCCCACCATGTTGTTTTCCCACCCACCCACTCCAATAAAGGGTGGACAAGTGTGGCAAGGGTGGAGGATAGCATGATGAAAGAACATGCAGCTTTGACACCAGCGTCGAAAAGCTTGCTTGAGTTTAGGGTGGATGCACACCTCTTTGTCATAAATATATTTATATATATATATAGATACATACACACATATATGACATATATACATATGATAATATACAGTAAGTATATATATATATATACCTACATGATTGCAGGCGGGTACCTATTGGCATGACGCCGCTAGCAAACAACACACAAGGGACAGGATCGGATCCACAGAGCCGTCGCGGGATGTCGGTCATCTTCCCCCAGGAGTATGACCTTGCGCGGGAGTGACCGGGGCACCGAGTTCGTGACGGTGACAGCGGCCACCGGGCGTTGATTTCGAGTTCCGCCGTCGGCTGTGTTTTCGTCGTTTTGGGGTCCCAGGCAGCCCAAATCCGATTTGAGACGCTTGTCGGTTTGGCAGTGTTGAATTCATCCATCTCCAATTGTAAACGGACGTTGCAGAACTCATGTAGCATGCATCTTGGAGCGAGTTGCAGCACTCGCACAGCCTAAGGACACTCGCTTCGAGTTTCCCAGCATGGATTTCTATCACGAGATAGCCACATCTGGTCTTGGCATGGGTGAGGAGGCGGGGAGAAGTGTAAGGAGGAGTTTATTTTGTTTTTGTCAGTGTGTGTGTGGGGGGTTATCCTACAATCATCTACAGTGTACAGTTTATGTAGGTCTTGGCTATCCAATGGTCCATTCTGTGTGAAAGGGAGTATTTTTTTTGTTCAATGCTGTAGTGAAGCTACCTATCCCAGAGAACCTTTGCACTCTAGAATTTATGGCGAATTTCAGCTGCACCCAACTCGCGGGGGAGGCGGGTAAACCGGCCCAAGCGTTTGCGGAGATTCTGTGAAGCCCACCATCGTTGGGCAGAAACACAACCTTTCTCTTGATCTCTTTGGTCTGCCAATGAGTGCCAATGGTTCGTACTGAGTTTGCCTCCAAACTCTTGCAGGTTGGGCGCAAGTTGGAAAAGATCTACCGTTCTTTACTGCAGATGCTCGCTTTGCCTTTGACCCCGCATGGTTCGAAAGGACTCATCGAGAAGCAGATCCATGAGATTTGCGCAAAGTTTCCAAAGCGGCATTGCGAAGGGACTTTTTCGGTCCAAGAAGACTAGCGTTCTTGTTACTACTAGTAGTACGGCCAGTAGCGTCCTTGCTCCTAGTAGCGATGCCCTTTGCTACTAGTAGCTTCTTGTTACTAGCAGTGGACGTTGGGAGATCTGGTCCTTTTTCCATCTTTCCCCCACTCAATTTTCACCAATTCTTAGGGCGCATACCCGAACACAAGGTTCAACATCCATTCTTTCTTTCATTCACGCCAAGAGTGATGGGTTCAACATCCCCATCAATAGCCACACCCGAGAAGCTGGCCTGAAGAGAAGATTGAATACTCAGCACTTCCCAGGTTTCCGCGCTACAAAGATGGCATGAAGGGCTTGGAGATGGATGAGAGGGCTGACCTGTTGGTGGATGCTGCAGAAGCTGCAGATGGGAATGCATCGGATGTTTCGGCTTCGATGGATTTTGGGTTTGCTCGAATCATCTCTGGTGGTTATCAAAGTGGTCAAGGCCGCATCTGGAGACACTGCAAACTGTTGGGAACTGTTGTGACCTTCTTGATATTGTTGAACGTACTGAAGAGGCGAAACACACGAGTGCAGACGACATTTTGCGACTTCTTATGTGCACGGAAATGATGTCAGGCAGTGCAGGGTACTTGGGGCATATCTTGGAAGGCTCCGACTCCATTGTGTCAGTTGAGAATGAGCATGCCGCTTGGGTCTCTGTGAAAGAGGATGAGAGTCAGGAGGGCGAATGCGAGCAAGAGATCTCGCAGTATTTCTGATGTTTGTTTTTTTTAATAAAAATAACTCAGGGCGTCCAGGGGCTGATTTCTTCTTCCGGGTCCCCTGGAACGGAGCCGAAGCGAGTTCACGACCACGTGTTCCACGTGGAGCTGCAGAGCTGCAGTCTTGTGTCACGATGGAGCACGCTTATAGCTACAAGTAGATAGTTCTGACTCTTCCGCCTCGAGAGGAGTCATTCACACTGATCAATCTCAATCATTAGGGGTTGCCTTTCAAGCCTGGTGGCCCAGTGGCCCCGAAAGAAAAACATTTGCACCTGGATGCCCTGCTCAAGCTGGCCAAGCCACAGTCAATCAACCCTCAAAAACCTGCGCTCCCCCTGGATCGTAAGCTTCTGGGGGAGCAGCTGTTGTGGAGCTCTGTGCTTGTTGGGCAACTTGTTGTTGCTTGTTTGAACATGCTGACATGCACTTTAGAATCAGAAAGTCTTGGTCAGATGCACGGTGTTCCTTTGCATGAGAGGTTTGCACATGTCTTTGGAATGTTTGTTTTCGGATGCAAGCTGGCATTGGCTTGCACACACCCTACCAATGAACCATATGCCACCAGTCTTGATATTCTGCGAAAGGTGATGCCCATTTCTTGTGTATCCAGCGGATGCTGGTCATTTCGATCGGACGATCCTCTCCGACTTTGATGTTAGAGACTTGGTTCATTTGCCGCAGCCGTCAGCCAAGACCCCCAGCGTCGGCGTCGTAGATGCACACGCACATTAGAAGCCCCTTCGGATTGGCCGGTCACGGAAAAAGGTAAAAAAGGGCCGCCGTGTTCCTTCAAAGATACCAAGAAGGACTGGTGAAGTCTTCAGCACTTCTTGATCTTGAAGGCTTCAAAGAGGGCACTTTGATGGCGTTTTTCTTCCATGTTGGCTGAAAGTCTTTGCTGTGTTGGCCAACCGAGGCAGGGAAGTCGCCAAATTCCTCTTGTTCGTGGAGAAGCTTCTGTTTTTGTGAGGCATGAAATTCTTCATAGAGCACCCGCATTAGAGTCACATGAAGCAAAGATGTTTGAATTGGTGGTCTTGATAATGGCAACACACATCATGTCATGCTGCTATGAAAGTGCGCGGCTGAAAGGCATGCAGGGCGAAAAGCATCGAACAGCTACAGGAAGATACAGGAAGTAAGTAGAATGTCAGACGAATCAGAATCCCGCCAGGTCGTGTGTATTTGAAGGGCTTCGTGCACTCCTCAGGTAAGCCAGTATGTGAGTGACTTGGGTTTGGTCCGGTTTGATCTTTGGCATTGCCCATCCTATAGCGGTCGTCGAAATCAAGGTTCTACATTAGTGACTAGTGACGTTAGTGGCAATGTAGAACCATTAGTGCCAATTACGTCAATGGTTCTTTTCCAAAAAAAGTCGGTTTTTCCGACCTGCGACCTGCACCCGACCTGCGTCCCCTGTGCGCCAGTCCGTTAGTCACGTCGACGTCGCGCAAGCATGTTTGGCTGCAGCGTAAACGGTCGCATCAAGGACAAGGACATTTAGATTTATTGGATCTTATTACATAATTAATGATGATAATGTTGACTAGGTCAAGGCCGGACCACCCGCAAGACTTGTCAAATCAGTCAGTCCTAATTACAGAAAAGTAAATTAGCTGTCAACAGGCTGACTCATGCCAGGAATAGTCATTAATCTTAATCACTGTAGCACTTCAGACAAACACCGCCCGTTACGCATGACTGTTTTCTTAATGATATACTGTTGACATTCAACACGCTGAACCATCCCCAGAGTTGGGTAAAGTCCCAGGGCCCCTGGCATATTCTAAACAAGTTGTTGCATGCAGTTTGGTGACAGACCTTGCACCCCAGATGGTTAAAACAAAAACAAAACTAAAACACTTGGTGCCTTGTTGTGCGAGGAGAGGCGGGAAAATGCATCGCCTTCCGTTACATACCCTGTACATTGCTTCACATCCTGTTCCCCCAACTGAATCCCACTCCTCGTCCACCCGGTGTCCACCCGCCATACTACTTACCGCATCGGATCTCCATGTCGCGTAACAAGATGGATGCTCGAGAAGGCGGGGAGACCTCTTTGGAAAGCCAATCAGCTGGCAAGTGAGGGTGATTCGCACATGGAAATGAGATCAAATGTGTTGATATCTTATTGTTATTGACCTTGATCTTGGTATAGACCTTGATGCTAGAAAAGCTTTCTTGCTGCCACTGCGCACAGATCCACTCACAAGCCGGTGGCACCTGCTGATGCGGAACCCTTTGAAAGGGCTGCATGAGGTTTGTGTTTATTTAGTGTAGGTTTGTATAACCTTTTGGTTTCTTGTCAACTCGATGGGCAAAATCTGGCTCAAAGCGAAGAGAAGCTGCTTCTGCTCTGTCAGATCATGTGAAAGACGACCCCTCTGCTTCGACTTCACCGCTCTTCCGTGGTCGGAGCGTAAACGCACCAGATGGCACTGCAAGCGGATGAAGGGCCTGAATATGAGGAACATGTGTTCTTCGTTCCACAGAAAGCCCTGCTGGTGGTCAAAATGAGGCTTGTTTGAATCTGAAACCACGCGACAACTATGAAACGTCTCACCAATTTGGAAGTATATAGGAGTGGCGGATGAATTGCCTTGTAATGACTGAAGCAACCTCTCAAGATACAGCTCCTTGAACCATGGCCCCCCACCCAAGCGAATTGCGAAAAGCTAAGCTGCGGCTGAGGAAGTTGAAGAATGACGAGGAGGTCAGCGATGAGTTGCTTCAAGCCTTTTCTTATCCGGGTCATCTGGAGGATAACGAGATGCTTGTTCCAATTGATTGCGCTATTTTGGATGAGCACTTTCCAAGTGAGGTATCGAGCATAGACGAAGATGGTCAACTCAATGTAGATCACTTGATTCAAAAATTGGGCCACAAAGAGACTGGCCAATTGTTGGTGCAAGCCCAACAAGCCTTTTTGGCCAATCCTCATGGAATAGATCCCGCATTAAGAGCAACGCCCATGACAGTTTCGCAGTGGCGAAGTGAAGGCTTCTACATAGAGGGCATGGAGGAAGAAATGGCCGAGTATGATGAGGAGGTCAACTTGGAGGAAGCTAATCCGGAAGCAGACAATGCTCCTGATCAGCAGCCTGACGGGGCCGATGAGTCGGAAGAACCATCATCCAAAAAGGCCAGAACGGCTTGAAGCCGAGTTACTCCGCGAGTGTTCGCGGATGTCCAGCGGCAATTCGTTCCTTTTCCGCTGCCAACCGGAAAATGTGAATGCGCGTGCAAAGGTCATAGACCAGTGTTCCACGGCGCCCTTTCTTTGAGCAAACACTGTGCCTGGGTATATTCTGCCAAAAGTTCCAACTTCGTTCAACTTTGTGCGTAAGGGAGCCCAAGGTTGCAGCCCTCGACCATAGTCATGCAGAGACAACATGAAGTGCACCTAGATACCTAGCGTGCCATCGTGCTCGCACCACTTCCCTGCCGGGCAGGCTCCCCACCGCACTTGGATACCTTCCGACAAGATTTGGCTGGAGCCTGATCCAGAACGGACCAGCCTTGACCGTGAGCGTTTCAACAAGCTGAAACGTCCTCCCTGAGAGACCCTGAAATGTAGTAGCGTCCTTGCTCCTAGTAGTACGGCCAGGAGCCCCTAGTAGCGTCCTTGCTCCTAGTAGCGATGCAGAAACACATTTGGAGATGTGATGAGATGTGATGAGATGTGATGCCTTTCTGCACCGGAACGGCCGAAAGACCGAAACTTCCCAGCACAGAGTGTGCCTTGAGCGAGGTCACAATGAACGTGCGCATGGAGCGCATTTTGGAGGCCAGAGCCTCATGGACAATTGCCAAGAGCTACAGGGAGGAGCCACCTGATTTCCATGTGCAGAGGGGGAGCATCCTTGGAATGGTTCAAGAAAGTTCAAGTGCTTTCCCACACTAGAGTCTAGAGCCAGGCTTGTGTTACTACAGGACTGAGTTGATGGACATTGGGGGGATGGACTGTCTTAGGCTCAAACCAGCAAAGTGGCTGATGCTGCGGCTCAGGCACGGCTCAAACCAGCAAAGTGGCTTATGGACAACTGACTCATTTTCACATTCTATATTTTTTTTGGGAAGGAATGGAGATCAGTGGAGCCGGTGGGAAAAATCAAGCCAAAGTTGGTGGACTTTTCTTATCTTTTCCTGATTGCTATTAGGCTGGAGGCCATCGCTCTTTTTGGTTGGAGGCCATCGCTGGTAGGTTGGAGGCTGGGCCATTGCTAGTAGGTTGGAGGCCATCGCTAGCGGGTTGGAGGCCATCGCTCTTAGGTTTGAGGCCATCGCTATTTGGTTGGAGGCCATTGCTATAAGGTTGGAGGCCATCGCTACTAGGTTGGAGGCCATCACTCGTAGGTTGGAGGCCATCGCTAGTAGGCTGGAGGCCATCGCTCTTAGGT